GGCTACACTACAGATTCAGTTACCTTTGCCGCCTTATTGCATGGAATTTGCTTGGATGGAAAAGCCAAAGAATGGAAAAGTATTATTTCCTGCAGCTTAAGTGCGACAGAGCTGTCTTTCGCTTTAAAGTATTCTTTGATATTTGACCAGTACCTGAGTCATGGATTCGACTCTGAGGCTTCAGTGATTTTGCATACCTTGGGTAAAGACCATGTCTCATAATCAAGATGAAACTGATGTTAAAGTTTTTGGTAAGCTTGGACTGGCAGAAGACTGAAGGTCTGCGTAATTGCTGTTTTATCGAGAGAGTATATATATTATAGGAGTAGGCTGGATCTTCTATAAGATGGATGGAGCTCTCTGATTGTTGCTTTATCTGATCTTCTGTGCAGATTGATGGTTTTGCAGCCAACTGACATCTAATTTTGGGTGCAGTTCTGCCACAGCTCATCTAGGTGTTCTCTCTTGGTGGCAGTGCAACTAAAACCAAGGTGGGAAAACTTGCCTTTTCCCTGTCACGACTTTTTGACTTCGTAACAAGAAATATAAAAATGTCATTGATAGCGACATATCTGTTTCATGCAGGTGATTTTCATTGGAAAATGAACATATGAGATGCTTAAAGGTTGACTCTCTTCTATTGTGACTGACGCAATGAACTCAATATTACTTTGTAGTATGTATTCTATGTCTTTTGTTCAATGATTTTTATTTTGTTTTTTGCCTTCTGCTCCAATGCTGCTGTCAAATATGGAGCCCTTGTTTCTCATTACTGCTCGTCGATTTTACATTCAATGCTTGATTGAATGATTTAATGACTCTTTGCTGACGAAGAATGTTATGGTAGCTTGACCCCAAAAAACCCTGTAACTTATTGTGTACTTACATACAGGAGCAATCTCTTTGGAGAAAGTGTCATCCCTGTAAGACGACATGATTAAAGGATTCTATTTTCTCAAGGAGCATTTGCTTTGAGCTTCGAAAAATGTGCCCATATCCATCTTTGGTTTGATGCATGGTGCAGGGATTTAGCACTGAAAGAAGAATTTCCAACTTAATCTTGACCAAAACTTATAAAGAGGCCACATTACACGAGTGGTTAAGGAGCTACGGAGGTCAGGTATTGTTATCTCTTGGTTAGGAGTCCCGTCCAAGATTCAGAATGGAATGAGATGTGCAATTTGATTCAAGTGCAATTCAGAGAGGACAGATTTGGGCAGGCTGAACCTCAAATATATTACAATCCCTTATCTAGGAGAGCTGTCTTCAGGCCCATATGGAAGCTGGTATGGAGGATTAAGGCAGCAAAAAAAGTAAGTTATACACACTGTTGGTGGTATTTGCACATAGGATCAGAGCCAGTTTTGATCACTTGTACTACATTGCAATTTCACTGTGGAGTTATGGTCTTACTCCATTTAAAGTTTTAAACTGTCATGGGATTTACCTAGTGGGAGAATGAGAAGGCTGGATGCTTGAAAGGAATTTGTGGAAGACAACACATTTGGTGCAATTTTCAGTTGATTCTGAGAGAGAAATATAGTACTAGATTCTTTGAGGGAATTGTGGAAATTAGAACTCTTTTGTCTGGTTATACTTGGCGCAAAAGGAGATCTATATTAGAAAAATGATTGATTTTTCTTTTTGGAGCTTTGCTTTTAACCCTTTACATGCATTTGTAAGGAAAACCCAAACTTGGTTTGGTATTGATGAAATTCTTTAAAATGTGTTCTTAGGTGAAACTCATCACCATAGTGAACTTGTAAAGCCATTCTCATAGGGAACAAATTTCTGTATAGCACCAAACTTAAGCCATTAGTTCAACCCATAGGTCAAAGGAACCATGGTAGACGACCTCCACAATACCAAATTCCATCAACTGGAAAAAGAATTCTATTATTGTGGAAAAGAGGAAGAGGAGACACATATAAGAGAGTAAAGGCCAATGGAAAAGGCACCACTTGAAAGAAGAAATGAATGCAAATTATCAAATGCTAAATGTGGTGTTCCATAAGCTACATACACTTTAAATACATGAATCAAATGTCTCTCTCCCACATAAATTTGTGAATGACGCCTACATCAAACACGACATCTTTTCGAATAAATTGCTCCGGGTATATAACCAAAACATCAAGTAACAAATAAATTGATGAGGAAAACATAAGTTCATAGATTGAATTCACAAAAACAGTCAGGTAAGGCAGATCCTCTACCCATTATAAAATCATCTCTATGAACCTTCCACAGGGCTTCTGTTAGTTCCTTCCCTTTAAACCCCTGAGAGGTAAACAATGCAAAGGCTTTCCTGTTCAAGAAAATTGTCTTATACAACCCCGTGAAAACTCGCATTGCTGCAACCATCTTATCCATGTTCCCAAAATAAGTAGCCATGTAAGAATCGCTGTTAATAGACACGTAATAATCCAGTGCAGCTTTTGTATTCCCATGCATGGTTGTGAAGTCCTCTCCGCTAAGAAGACTAGATTTGGTAACAACATTGGTATACACAGATGTAAGTCCCTCAAGTTCCATCAGGCCATCACCAGCTGCCAAATAAATTGTCGTATTGGTGGGTATGGCTAAAGCTTTAAGTATGAATGCAGTTTCATTGGGGGTAAGTGGACACTTTCCACGGTTTCTCCAAATACGAGCTGTTTCCCCAGTCCAAGGTTTCCTGTCAACCCGTGCAGCTTCTATGGCTTTTGCAGAAGCAAGAGAAATACCAGAGTACTCGCATTGACTATAAGCTACCATGTCAGGTTCAAACCGAAGGTGAAGCGATAAGAAGGGCTTTGGTATAGCTTGTAGAAGCTCAAGCGCTTTCTTCTCCAATGTGTTTGTAAGGCGCAACGCACTATAACAAGCCTGGCAAAGTGCAGCTTTTGCATAAAGAGGGTACCTAAGATGAGTAATTATGGTTATAAGGATGAATAAAAAAACTTTATCCTTTTAAAGCCGCCTGTAGAAATGATTGGTTGAGAGTTCTCAGCTTAAATCAAAATACAAAATATAAGTACCTATCCCTTCTTTGACTCATTGCAGGGGTGATTGAGATATATCCATGCTTCAGTAGGGAAGGAAGAACACTCTCAACATAGTCAAATTGGCCTTTGCGTTTGCTGCAATCAACTCTAACAGGATCTTTTGATGCAATCTCAATTGGAAGCTCTTTCACCACATTAACAAAGCCCTTCATTTGTTGGATGAAGAAGTCTACATCAAATACATCTTCAAAACCACTGAAACATAAGGCAAAAATTCATTCATAGGCATGAAAAGAATGAACAGGAAACCATTATAAAGAAAACCTCCAACAAAATCATAAGACAGCTCTTGACCGTGTAAAACTACAGAGTTGACTGCTGATTAGGCGTAGCAATGAATGAATGACTGAAGAAGTTATAAAGTACCTAAAACCTACAAGATTATGTAGGTTACAAAAGGAAGATGAAACAAATTATAAGTCATAACAAAAGCATACCTCGACTCATTCCAGTATGCAGCTACTTCAAACTTTGGCAAAACAAGAGTAGCATTCAGCAAACGAGCTATTCCAACACCATCACACAACTGCAGATCACAAATGACAAGAAACAAATTGAGTGACTTTTCTCATCATAAATATCAATAGGTAGGATATTCAATGTAGGTGCAGCGAATAGCAGTACTCACATCTCTCCTCATCTGATTGAGCCCACCATAGCAATCCACTCGAATATACCCATTAGCCTGAGCAGGAAGAGCTGCAGCATTTCAACAACAAAACCATGTCTGCATTGGAGGCCAGTCAAATGCTCGACTTAGAAAACTTTACAACCTCCCAGAGCAGAAGGTTATATGCACAACTAGAGCTTATATCCTAATTCTTGTTTTACCCACCCCTGACAAATTCCAAGTAGCCATTACCCAAAATAAACTATCCTCGGTATAAATCAGCTCAATCTCCATCAACAGACCACCAGAAATACCAATGGAGCAATATAGTAATGACTGTACAATTATTCAAATCGGCACCAAGTATTGCCAATGTGATTTAACATTATAGTAGCTATCTACTGTAGGAGTCGTTTGGCAGTTGGTTAAAATTAAATTATGCAGATATTAGCTCTTCCATCTTCTACCCCACATAACACAATAAACCAAAACATCATATTAATTTTATACATGAATAATGTACTTCCTAACTAGCAACCAAACATGGTATAACTTATACATAAATTAATACGTCCTTACTAGAGAAGGGTTTTATTTTGGGGGTTGGGATGGATGGAGTATCAGCCAAAAACTAACCATTAGTTCGAGGTTGGAGCCACCAATTGCAAGGTCGCCACTCAGCTAATCTTCGCATGCTCCATATCTCAGGTCTTTCACGCCTGCAATTACACTCAAATAGAAACAGATCAGAAGGCCACAGAATAAGAGAGAAATGCGTTGAAAGGGTAATAGTAAGAGCTCAAAACTTTAAAACGAAAATAAAAAACAATCAAATACAGAACAAAGATTTGGATCTTGTAGTTTACTCCGTGAAGGAAGAAACAAAAAAAGGCATGTCCGTAGATATTAACACGGAAATCAAAGCAATTAACAAACATAGGTTAAAAAAAAGGGGGGAAAGAAGCAAAACTTACCATGAAGAATTGAAGGTAACAGAAGGGTCGGAGAAGAAAGAAAACGGTGTGAAGAAGAAGAGAAGGAGAAAAAGAGAGAGCGTCAATAGAGTAACGCCAAAAAGGGGCTTTCGCACAGTTGAAGCGATCATTCTATAGAATAATAATGCACCCAATGGGTTTCGTCTCTGTTGAGTTTATCAGCAGTAGGGAAATGGAAAATATGAAGGAAGAAGATGATATGGAGGGAATAAAGTAGATCTCTTCCTTCAAAAGGGGATACAAAGGCACAGTTGTAGATCTACCTTCCCCTTTTCCCCTCTTCTTCTTCTCACCGACTTATCCATCAATTTCTGCTCTTTGTTTTTTTTTTTTTTTTTTTTTTGAAGTGTCAAACAGTAGTAATTTCTGCTTCCACCAACCAGGGTTGCATTCGAGTCTGGCTCCAATAAGAATTGAACACCAATTAAAAAATAAAAATATTTGCTTCCACAAAATGAAAAGAATCATGACCTCTTTGATAATTTGCTTTCCCAATTTAATTTACTATAGTAGGTGTCGTTTTTTTTTTCCAACAAAAAAAAAACAGGTGGAATTTTATTTTTTTTAGTTTCGAGCACATGTTACAAGAACAATAATTGAGCAAAGGCTGAATTCTCACGACAATTTGCATCTTATGTGTATTATATCACTGGTCACATATGTCTACTTGTTTAATTTTATGATAGTTAAAGTGCATAGATATCAACTAAGGTCAAGTTAAAGAATGCGTTTATATATTATGATTATGCCTATTCAAAATCTTTCAACTCCTTTTCCAGCTTCCATGCTCTTCAAGAAATTATGACAGGTTTTGTGATGACAACAATCATAAATTAGGTGGCCTCTCCAAGAAAGGAGGCTGGTCAATGAGCATTCAATCCTCTAAGAGATAATGCGGAGCCATCTATCAGTTTCCTACCACATGTAGTAGCAAACATCAAATTCAATCTGAAGCTTCCATAAAAATGACATATTCTTCAGTACCCTGCTTCTGAATGGCTTCCCAGGTTTCTCAAAACTATTGTTGGAAACACAACTATGGTGAAAACTGGAAGAAGATGATCTAGCATCCTACCTTCTGTATGCTTTTTCCATTTTTAACCTTGCATCACCTGTTAGCAGTAGTTTCAGATTGGCAACATGGTGAGTAACTAACTGTATGAACTAACTTTTAAGGAACACTCAAGATCATACAAGTATCTTCATATATATCAGAACCAAGCAGGTTTACTGTTTATAACTTCAAAATGACTAACATAGATATATCTTCCACATGCATAAAGGCGTTCAGGGGAAAAAGATCAACATTATGTGTGATAAAGATAATTTATAGGAATCGAAAAGTTACTTCACGTCATGAAAAAATTACAGAATATTGGCTTCGTAGTTGACACCTAACCAAAGAGCTAACTAATATCCCACCTTTTTAGGGCTAGGTAGGATGATGGGGAGAAATTAAGAGATACAGGTAGAAAAATGCAAGCAGAATCAGTGAGTAGAAATCTTTTGAAGTTGAGACAATATTTTCATCATCACCTTACCTAGAGAACATGCTCCACAGTCCAATCTAGTGGATTGATCTATCCAACTTAGGTTTCCAAGTGCCAACCTTTACGATTCCTGTGGTCATTTCCAAGGAAAACAACTACTCGACGTCACACCTAGAAGGATCATATGACACAGTTCCGAGTCACATCACCAACTATGTTGGATGTAGTACATTCACAAAGTAGAAATAAGGATAATGGTTACATGTAGAACCCATTAACTAAACATATATGGCAGAAACAACAAATCGACAACTTATCAATCTGCATGGCATTTCCAGAAAATGTCTCGCAATTAAATATTTAATTCAGATGTTCCCATTCAAACACAAAAGAATTATGTCCTTAATATGCTCTGGTACAGCCGGAGATTCTTGTATGCCTTAACTAATGTATTCCAGCAGTAATTACCACGTATAAGGCATCACTCAACTAGCAAGCAGACCTTGCGACCCCTTGTTAACCTTTTTTTCCCTTTCTAATAAAACCCCCTTGTTTACTCTTGAAAGTTGATGGCCCTTCAGCTTGTCCTTTAAGGATGCAAAGAATCCAACACAAAATGTGGACTCCAAGAGATAACTACATGCCTTTCGTTCATTAACCTTGCAAGCCAATTACACCACATCCAAATCTTTACAAGTTAGGATGTCATTTACACATATTGAATGGTAAAGAGCAACTGGACCCACAGGAAAGATTGACCATAAAAATTAATCTAGGCTTTGCTACGGAAATATACAGATCAAGAAACTCACTTGGACCATATTGTCACCTTGACTATAATTTTCCATCACAAGATAATAGGTCGGACCAAGGTTTTGCCTCTGTGGCTATAATTTGCTATCTGAGCCAGGAGTTTCCACTGGGTATAGCCAAGTCAGTACCACTCACTGCTATCAGAAAACAAGGAAATGCAGCATGTACTTACCAATAAACGACATGCGACAAGAGTAGGTATCACCTTGACCAGGGAATTGAGATGATTCTAGATCATTAGATTCTTTCACTCAAAATTTTCATCCGAGTATTCTTCATCATGTTTCAATTTCACACGGGCCTTGTTACCTCTCATTACGCTTGCCAGCTCTTGAATTAAACTAGATGTGCTTCTTTCCATCTTATCTGCAAGTATCTCAGTCTGCTCTGCAAATCCATGACCTATTAGTCTATTCCTCAATTTTTCACACGTCTCTGTATATGGAGGAATGCCTTCATCTATCATCATTTCAAAATATTTACATGCTTCCTCTAGTTTGCCTTTCTTCTGACAGAAACCATGTACCATGACAGAATATGTCGAGACTGAAGGATAAAAGTTCCTGTCTTCCATGCTCTCCCAAACTTTCTCTACTCTATCAAACCTTCCCACCCTAATAAGCATCTTAAGCAACATATTATATGTATGTTTATCTGGTAGGCAGTTGTTTTGTTCCATTCTTGAAACCAGCCTATGTGCCAAGTTAACTTCATTGTGATCACAATGAGAAGCTAGGATTGTATTGTAACTCCAACAATCAGGTCTTACCCCTTCGCTAATCATCTCATCTATCAGTTGGTAAGCCTCGTCAACTTTCTTGGTCTTACAAAGCTTTTTGATGATACAATTATATGTAAATACATTAGGCACAAGTTTGTACCTTCTCATCTGGTCAAGGACCCTGAAAACTGAATGAATATCATTCGCCGTGCAATAACCATGAATGAAAATTGAATAACTAAAAGCATCAGGTATCAGTCCAATGGACCTCATCTTCATGAAGAAGTTGAAGGCCTCATCCATCTTACCAGCCTTGCATAGTGAGTCCAAAATACTATTATAAGCAAGCAAATCAACTGAACAACCTCTTTCAAGCATTTCATCAAACAGCTTTTGTGCTTCAGCAACTTCCCCTAAATCTCCCCATCCCCTTATCAGAATGCTGTAAGTTTTCACACTCGGCATGAAATCATCCTTCACTTTATCGAAGAACTCCTGCGCTTGCTTGGCATGCTTTCTTTTACACAGCGCCAGCAAAAGCTTATCGAGATCAGCTAAACATGGTTTAATCCCAAAATCTACCATTTTATTAAAAGCCCTAATTGCATCAGCTGGCAAACCAGCTCTACTATAAGCCCTGAAAACAAGCAAGAAAATTTCGGGAGTAATTTCACAAGATCTATTCGTTCTCATCTCAACAAGGAAATCCCATATCAAAGGGAACTGTTTACTACTTCCTAATATATCAACAAGAATGTGAAAGCTTTCTCGACTATGGCAAAAACCTGATAACTTTTGTGCCCATATGAAGAACCTGTGCGCAGAGAATTCAAGATTTTTGCAACGTTTGAGGACTTGTTCAACTACATCGGTAGAAATACTGCCGGAAAATGGATTGAGTGCGGACTCAATGTCGTGGTGAGGACTTCTGTAGTCACTAAGAATTCGAGAAATCTCATTCACCAGGTCTGGATTTTTTTCAGGTTCCTTTTTTGTTTCTGCATCAGTAAAAGAGGACATGAACAGACAGCCGCGAAAGGCATTGCAGGTGGGAAGATAAGAAGAAAATGAAGAAGAAAGAGAATACTGAGTGCTTTTGAGTGGAGAAAGATAGCAATGGAAGAGTGTTCTGGAGAAATAATGTACACTTCTGTAGCGAAGAAATCTCCTAATCACCATTTTTTTTTCTTGAGAAAGTTCAAATATGTATGTTCACCTAAATTTATTCCATTTTTCAAATCAAACCAGATAGATTCAAAAGAGTATGCGCCAATTTAGTCCACGGGTATCCAGTGTTCAGCAACATGTTTTCTTGGTTTCAACCATGGGTGATGATCCATTTCATTGGGCTTTTATTAGGTCTTTAGGCCCAAAATATGTCATTGGGGCTCAAGTCCAGAAGAAAAGCCCGTAAACAATAACAAACTTTTTTGGGAAAATTGTATATAATAGCAAACTATTAATTCAAATTAAATGTTATAATCATAGTTTGATTTAATTGTACCCTATAACAAACTGTTGTTATTTCCCCTCTCTCCCTGGTGAATCTCGCTTGTCACTCTCGTTCTCGCTGGGCAGTCTCGCTCGCCTCTCTTGCTTTTATACAAACACAAATGTATAAAATGTGTTTATGTTTGTATAAAGCGAGAGAAAATTGTATATATTCATATATTTTCATTCCCCTCTCTCCTCTCTTCCAGATCTCGCTCGACACTCTCACTCGCCTCTCTCACTTTATACAAACACAAATGTATACATTGTGTTTGTGTTTGTAGAAAGCGAGAGAAAATTATATATACAAATACAAATGCATATATTTTCGTCTTATACACTTATGATTATACAAATACGATATTCCCCTGCCCAGTTTTCTTTTATCTTTCTCTCTTTCTCGCTTTATACAAACACATATTATACAATTGATTTTTTCTAGCCATCTTCTTTTGTATATATGTATAGCGAAATAGCCATCTTCTTTTGTATATATGTATAGCGAAATAGCCATCTTCTTTTGTATATATGTATAGCGAAATAGCCATCTTCTTTTGTATATATGTATAGCGAAATAGCCATAGCAAACATAAAGTTTGCTTAGAGCGCAATTATGCAAACTATAGCTATAACATATAAATATGATTTTTGTGTTTGCTATATGTGAAAGTTGCTCAACTTTTTTTTGTTGTAAAAGTTAGAGAGGACATTGTTTATTGGCCACATTTAAAGCCTATCGGCAATTTGGATTTATTTTTACTTAAAATCATGGGAACATAACATAAATCTCACTAGTTTAGAATTTAATTATGTGTCTCTCCGTGTGAATTTTTGAAATTACTATTTTTATCAGATTTCGGTCCCCAAATTACACATGTATCTAGCGTGTTAGATTACATTTATCTCAAATACATAGGGTCAAAATCAAGTATAATTTGTTTCAGATACACTATATTACAGTGGATTTACTTGTTTTTGGGATACAGTAACTCTCTCGCTAGCCTCTATCTTATACGACTCATATTTCTCCCCATGTAAAATACAAATTCTAGTATCCCAAATATATGTATCAAATGTGATTCACATGTATATGAGATATACTCCCCCAGTCCCTAATTACTTGTCCATTTTTATTTTTTAGTTGTCCCTAATTACTTGTCCATTTTGACAAATCAAGAAAGGACAAAAAAAATTACCTATTATATCCTGAATTAATTACTTTGAAAATGTATAACTTTTTGAAAATCTTAAGTTTTTAATTCATCCACTTCATAATAATCAGGGGTAAAATGATAAACTCACTATGTCAATAATTGTTTTCTTAATAGGTGTGTCAATTCAAAAATGGTCAAGTAATTAGGGACAGAGGGAGTACTGATTATTTGCTCACCTCCCTCTTATATTTCAAACTATAGAAGAATTAGTAAATAAAATAGAAATATTTGTATCATTAAGTAGTTTTTTCTAAAACAAAGTTCTTATAAACAATTTTAAAATTAGTCAAACATTCTAAAACTACTTAAAAGTTGTTTTGGCCTTGAATAGCTTAAAATAAGTCAATTCAAACATGTTCTTAACCTTTTACTCCCTTCATTTCAAATTAATTGAATTGTCAAGATTTTTTTTCATTTTTTCAAATTAACTTAATTGTTCAATTTTCAAAATTAATTTTAAAATATTCTTCCAATTTTACTCTTCATTAGTTACTATTGAAATTAGTTATTATAATTAATGTTTAGTTATTTTAATCATAAATTTGACATTAGTTAATAAAGGTAAAAATAGAAAGGTATACCTAATTTATATCTTCATTTTTTTCTTTTTTTTAAAATATGAAACACCTCAATAATTCGATTAATTTAAAATGAACGAAGTATCATTTTTCTAAATCATTTAATGGTAGTCAATATTTGGTAATTTCATATAAAAAGCGGATTTCGCTACTGCTGCGGCTGCTTCACTCATCTAGAATTTGAGCTTATCATATATTCCTCTATTTCAATTTATGTAACACTTTTAATTTTTCGAGAGTTAAATAATTTAAGATTGATCTGAAATTTGTTCATGAAATCTTTGATTTTTTAAAATGAAATTTATATATTTTCAACTACGTAAAAAGTACTATAAGCTACAATAATTGATAATTCAAAATGTTTAAAAAATGTATAAAAAACTTACGGTCAAAACTTGTTTGAATCTCAAAATCCGAAAAGTTTCATACAAAATGAGAGGGACGGAGTATTTTCTATTCATCGATAGATTCCATCCATCCCACGGCAGTCATACAACAATGACATTCTCAGCAACAGTGACGTGTTAATTTTTCTTCACGCAAGTATAAAAAGTTGATTTCAAACCTAGTAAATCAAATTAATCTCAATGGAATCTTGATCTCGATCCCAAAATTTCAAATTTTGAATTTGTTCCTGGCGATTCCTTTCAGCCTTCTAATCCAAACGTATCCGTCGACCGTCATCACCTGAAAATCAAGACCAGATCAACTCACTGCTAATAATGACTATTTCATAAAATTAAAATGATTATCTGTTTTGACATATGCTTGGGATTTCACTAATTATAATATTTGGCATTAGTGCTGATAAAAAGGGCCGGCTCAGTCCCATCCGGCCCAAGCCTCGGGGGTTAAGGAATTTAAAGGGCTAGGGCGGGCCGGCCCTTCATTGCTGAAAATGCTCAATCCAACCCAACCCTAGAAGGGCCGAGGGATAGGGCGGGCTAGCCCTTCAGTTTTTCATTTTTTTTCTTTTCAAACTTATAATTCTATAACATCAAGAAAATGAGAAGATTTTCAAATCAAATATGGTAAACAATGGTGTTGTTTCAATAAAACTAGCAAAAAAATCTAGTGTAATTAGCATGTATCTCGCTTACCATATACGAGAGTGAGATAAGAGAGATGGGAGGGAGGCGAGGGCGTGAGATTTGTCTATGTATCCTAGATACATGCGAATCTACTTGGATAGAGTGTATCTAGAACAAATTAACCTACTTTTGAGTCGATATATTCTGAGATACATGTATCTGGACGTACCAAAATCTGATAAGATTCATAATATTACAACATAACGTGTATTTAAGTAATTAGATGATATACTAGTGAGATTATTGTAAGTTACCCTTAAGTAAAAAGTTTTGGCACATGGGCCGACCCCGACCCGACCCCGATCAAGTCTCAAGGTCAAAGGCTTATATGAGCTGGACTTATAAGCTCTAGTTTTAAATGGGCTTAAATTTTTTTATCTCAACCCTACCCTAATAACGGATTGAATTGAGCTGGCCCCATGGGATAAGCCCATTTTGACGGTTCTATTTAGCATCATTAGATCCCGTTAAGTAAGCTTAACGTGTATAGATCTAAAATACCATACTTAGTTACATAATGCGCATGCAAAAGAAAATGTATTTGGTACTTATAGATTGGGACGTGTATAGATCTAAAATACCAAATAAATGGGACAAAACATGAGTAAAATATTCATTGTGTCATTAAATATTTATCAAATAAGAAAATGTATAATTTTTTTTCGGATAAATTAAAAAAGATATAATTAAACTGGGATAGAAGGAACAGGAAATATTAGGTATAAAAATATACTTTCTTCATTTCATATTAACTGAATTTTAGGTTTTTCTTTTTATTGTTTAAAATAATTGGCTAGTTCAAAGTTTAAGATAAATATTTAAATTTATATTTTATATTTGACTTTTCTTTTAATAAATTTAAAATTTTCTAAAAGATAAATTATATATTTACAAAATTATATTTATGATTTGACAGTACGTTGTTTCATAAATTCAATTAATATAGAATACATCGAGTAGAATATAAAGGGACATAGGACATGAAAAGTTAGCTGGATTGCATTAACTTTTGAGTTGTGAATTGTGATACATACACATGACATGAATCAACTGAGCAAATTTGTCACTTTCAACATTTTCATGATGCAGATAGTCTGTAAAATTAACTCATAGTGCAAAGTCGACAAGGACAAAACCTGAGAAAGCACTCACATAATTTATCCTACCTACTTTCTAAAATAACACATTCTGTTCGACAAGTTCTCACTTATGGAGTACTATAAGTGCTCGTGCTAGCACGGGCCTAATATGTTATTTGTTGTCTCATTTTATGTGATATAGATAAAATTTAAAGAGTGAATTAAATTTTGATATGATTTTTAAATATTTTAAGTTGTTAATTATTGTAATTTTTACATGATTTTTAAATAATATATATTACTTTCCTTGTCCCAATATATGTAGCACAAATAGAATTTCAAGAGTCAATATGTTGTTAATTATTGAGATTTACAATATATTTTACATAGTTTTCAAATTAAATAATACATGTTACTTCTCTTGTCCCATTTTATAGACACAAATATATTAATTTTAGTTGTCAATTATCATGATTTATAGTTTTTTTTATGCACATTTTATTATATATAAAAAAAATTTTAAAAAAAAGACAAACAAATTAAAACGGAGAAAAAAGTAGGCAAATATATATATGTAAGTGTGGAACCACACAGGTGAAGCAGTCAGACCGCCACATGTGTGGTTATCCACGCTTATATATAAGCAGTGGATTTTTTTTGTCTCACTTTATGTGGCATGGATAAAATTTAGAGAGTCAATTAAATTTTGATATGATTTATAAATATTTTAAGTTGTTAATTATTGTAATTTTTAAATAATATATGTTATCTTCCTTGTCCCAATATATATAGCACAAGTAGA